ATAGACATTTATTCAGTTATAATTATCAACGTATATTTTTTATTGTGTAATTATAATTTGGTACTGTTATTATCATTGATTACTCTCGTTATTGCACTACTTACATGAACTAGAAGAATGGCGCGTGCTCCGGTTCGATTGAATGTCTATGATATGGTACTCGTTCTTTTGATTTTCTTTCATTTGAGCAATTGCATTCTTTTGAATGTTTATATCAAGATAGGGAATATTTTTGCATATTGCAATGAGTAGTAGTAGCGTTTTTTGATTTTTAGTACGATACTGCTACTGTTATTACTATTATTGTTGTTATTATTATTGTTATTATTACTATTAATTCGCATTAGAGATTCTTTAATGAGGAAACAATTTTATTTGTGTTCCATATGAAAATCGCCTTCGTGTTTTTCGAACGGTACGAAAATGAGTTGAAAATCGCATTCCAAATCGAAAAAAGTTTTATTGAAATGGCCTGGAAAAGTCGTTAGAACTTTGATCTACTTAAGATAGGAAGAACTGAGATAGTGAAATGAACTTAGAACGCAGATGAAAAAGTGATAATGAGAAATATTCAGTATTGGTTGAATGAATATGCGTCGACTGTTGGATTTGGTGTGTATCACTCTGGAATAGAAGTTTATGGAGTTGGTATGTTTTTATTTCATTGTGCATTGATTTCATTCAGCCACGATATTTATATACTTTGAACCCGATTTCGCCCTCGACTCCAACCATGTTAGGTAGCATTGAGTAACTGCGATAACGAATTACTTTGATAGGGGTAATTCTCTTCTTATCAGTGGTGAGTCAATCGATGAGGAAGTGGCAGCTACGCGTTTGATTGAATAATCGCAGCTTTAAACGCTATTGTCATTATATTATTGTTTTTATCGTTGATTTTATTATTGCTTTATATTGTATTAAAATTGAAAATTTGATCGCAGAATATGCGTATGGAGGACATCCGTTTGCCTTCTCAGGTGTCTTTGAAAACACACCACAGGACGCAGAGGAACTGGGCGAAAATTTTAAATTCAGGTAATTTCATTAAGAAAATTTTGACAGCGAGATGAAGAAAAACTAGCAACTTATTCCTTGTAAACGAATAATCTAATTACACATATATGCCTTCTAAAAGGGAGTGACTACGCCAATTACTGCTTGTCACAAGCCTTTACTACGAGCGTGAAAAAGTTGTCGTTTGAAAGCAAGCTCAGTGAAGTTGATCACTAAAAAATTGTCAACATTTTTTAATGTTTGGCAGAATGTGTTTATTATTCGTTCAGTAATCAGCTGCACCAGTGCACGTTTAACAGTCATTTGCAATTCATCTCATCTCATTTCACATAAAGCATTTTCTTCATTTGCACATTTCAGCCAGAACTCATGTTCATGTCTTCTTGAAATATTTATACCACATCTGTTTCAATGAATCATCACACTATCTTGGTCATTCATTTGTTTATTCATCTCAAGCATCCGTCCATTTTGCGCAATTGCTAATGAGAACATTCTTGTTGAGAATTCTCATTTTGGGAAACCGTTAAAAAAATCATTTGGAGTGACTTTTTAATGGGTTAGGTATATATCAGCATGAGTGTATATTGCAGAGAAAGTATTTTGATTGGTGAAACGGACTTCAGCGCTACAGATGTACGACATATGATACAGTTGTTTGGACACGAGTATCGTGGTGATAAATATCATTTGATATCTAAAAATTGTAATCATTTTTCTGCCGCCTTTGCAAAGGTTATTATTATTGGTTCGGTTTATGAGTTCTAATCGAA